GGAGGGGCTGGGGGGCCCGTCGCCCGGCGAGCTGACGGCCATCCAGTGCAAGAACGTCCCCGATTACCTCAACGACAGGACGGTGCTGGAGAAGCACTTTGGCCAGTTTGTGAAAGTCCGAAGGATCATGACCAGACGCAATAAAAAAATGGCTGTTCTCCACTTTTTTGATCATGTGAGTGTCGCAAGGGGTTGACACAAAAGCAGGCTTAAATTTGAGTTGCTTGGGATGTGTCCAGCTCTGGTGAGAACTGCACCCCTGTTTGGTAACGTGGTATGTTTTTCACCTGGGGACAAGCTTCGTATCGTGAGTGCTGTATTACAGACAGGGATAGAAGTGTACTGAGCTGCACCTGAAATGAGGGAGCTGCCAGAGCTCTGCCTGACATTGGTTGTCCTGTTAGCATCCAGCTCAAACACCAAACAGATCTTTCCTGTTCGTCATCTCACGTCACCCAAACCTGAGTTACATACGCTGCTGCGTTCTTGCTCAGGCTTGGCAGCACCAAGGGTGAGATGACTTCGTGCCACCTTTGCAGGGTGACCTACTCCCTGGAAATACGGCTGTTAACATCAGCACTGAGATGTGTTGAGGAGCCAGTTTGGAGACTGTGTGTTGTGTTTCTGCTTTGTGCTTAAAAATACACCTTTGGCCTCAAGTGCTGTAAGCTGGCTGTAGCAAAAAGCGGTGATTTTTGTGGAAACCTGCCCGGTCCTGCTGGTTGTGTGTAGGTCTTAAGTGAGGAGTTAAAATGCAGTAACCAGAATTTTATGGCAATTGGTGAACGTTTCTCTGGCAAAAACTGCACTGTCTATTTTGGTGGTGTAATGCTAATAGCACTTCATATTCTGCTTTTGTTTTGTTTCAGGCCTCTGCAGCTCTTGCCAGAAAACAGGCGAAAGAGTTGCACAAAGACATAGTAACGTTTTGGCAAAAGAAGAAAACAAGTAAGTCTGTGTTTGCAGATACAATTACTGGGGGATACATAAATGGCATGCCATCTGCTCTGTTCTGGTTTCCTGATGTGCTTGAAAATGATACAAAGATGATCTCCACAGTAGGAATGTTATAGCTCTAGAAGTATGGTGGTTCTCTTTGACTTTTGCTAGTCAAACTGTTTGGTGCACAGAGCTTCTGGGAGCATTGAAGCTTCTGGGAGCATAAAAATCATTATTCTGCATTTTATGTGACATCCCGACTAGCTCTGTGGCAAAAGCTAATAGTGAATATGCAGAGGAGGGGGAAAAAGAACAAGATAAAGCATGTAATTGCCTGCAGAATAGTTTCTCAGCCTTTAACAGCCTATGGTTTTGGAACCCTGGGTGCCAGAAGGGGTGCCTTGGAGAATTTTTGTCTTACGAAGTTACCCAGCTGCTTTTGTAAACTGTGTAAACTTCCAGCATCTGTGGTACTGTCCTCTTGTATTGAAGTTTTAAGTGAGTGACTGATCCATCACAGTTGGAAATTGCACTGTTTCTTTTTTAGATTCCTGTTGTCCAAAACATTTTGCTTAATCTGAGCCAAAATGATGTTTCAGCTGTATGAAAGAGCTGAAGATGCTTCAAATAACAGTGTAGGTTTGCAGGAGAATTTAGAAATTATTCATGCAGCCACGCAAGAGGAATATAGCAGTGTTAACTTTGCGGTCCTATGTAGAAGTAGGATGTTCTTTGGGCTTGTAAGAAAACCCAGTTTCAAACGCCTCGCTGCCTGCTTCAGAGTATGGGCTGGGATGTGGGCTTCTAGCTTTCAGGAGAGTGTCCTGAGAACCGAGTTAAGTACTCTGGCGTGTCTGTGTTGCCGAGGCTGCGGTTCTGCCTGTCAACAATTGCACACTGCTTGAACCAAAAAGAGAGCAACCTACAGAGAACTGAGCTTAGAAATGGGAAACCTGGATTCCAGACCCTGCATGGAATTAGAACAAGAGCAGATGTTCACATCTGTTCACCCCCTAGGTGAACACTTGAATTGTTGAGTGCTTCTCTTCCTTTAGCTTTGAGTGCTGTGTGTGTACCTCTGAGATCCTAGCCTGGGGATACACTTCAGCTGACAGCAAATGGATGGTTCACCACAGCTTTGACCAACCACAAACTTGACTTCCAGAAAGTCAACAGCTGCAGAGCTGTCTTCCTGAGAATTAACATCTTGAAGCAGCAGCTCTAGGGGTACCTGTTCGCCTTTGTCACTTTGTTGTGGTGTTAAGCCTATAGAAATGTGAATGGCAGTATTCTAAAGTAACTAATCTGAGAGAACTTAAGAAATCCAACTGGTTGAAAACTTCTTCCTGGGAGAAGAAATTCTCTCTTGCTGCAAGGTGTAGATGTAACTTTTGAGAAGGCATGCGAACCTCAGGCTAAGCTTGGGTATATGAAACAAATAATTAAAATGCTTCAGCGGGAGCGCTGGGAACTGTGGTTTACGTAGGTGAAATGGATTTTATATTGGGTAGAGAGTTATGACTTACGGATTATATCCCAAACCTGAGAGAACTTAAATTCTGATGATGATCAAACTTCATTTACTGACAATCTACTGACCAATTATAGTTATTGCTAAGTGATGTTTTATTGAAAAATACTTCTTTATAGAACAGCAAAGCTGACTAGCAATTGGTAGACTTACTCAGTACAGCTTCTGCTGCAAGTTGTCCTGGAAGTTTTGCATATGTGTACAAAACTGTGACTCTTAGTTTTATTTTCTAATAGTTGGGGTTTGTTTTGTTTTTTTTTTCAAACAAACTGCTTACCACTACCCCCATGGGGAAAAAGAGAGTTGCTACTTAAACTATTTGGCAAGTACCTGGCTTCCTGTTTATATGTTGCTTCAGGTCCAGCAAAAAGAGGATTTTCATCCAAGGAGAAGAAAGGTGAAGATGAAGGAAGGCAAAGCAGTGAAGAGCAAAACTATCAGCATTCCCCTCTTCGAAAACCTTTAATAAGATCCTCTGCCAGCAGTGTCATGCCTGGTAAAAGGTATGTCTGCCCCTCTGGGAATCCATCTGGCAAGGAACAGGGCGCATGGGGAAAAAATCGTGATGAGTGTGTGCCAAATAGCCATGTTCATATGGGGAGTGTGCTTCCCTTATCTCTTCTGGTTTGTCTGAATGACAAGCTCACAGATCTCACACTTTGTCAGAAAGATAATTCTAACTGCTTATTAAGGTCTTTTACTTTGATCTGTGTATTTCTTTTGAATATTTTGTTCATAACAGCGTGAGTAACAACACCTGCAATAGTGAGGCATAAGGGAGCTGAATGAAACAGTGCAAGGCCGAACTAGGACCAAGCAGTAATGACACTGTTCTGTAGTCATGATTAAATGAGCTTCTGAAGCAAGTAGTTTCATTTGTTGTAATAATAATTCCACTGAATTACAGTTCTGTGGAATGAGAATCCCCTTTTCAGAGTAGCTGGTGAGTTTGGATCATCGTCTCGTCTCACTTCAAGTGAATGGTCTTTGTACAGGAATCTTCCTGTTTCGTGTCAGTCACTGAAGTGGCAAGATTGTCATCTTTCTGTGGTACCCTAATGGTGTGTGTAGTTCGACAAAAGTCAATTGGTATGTGTAGCCATATAATTATAAAATTAGTAGTATGCTGTAAAGGAATGGATGTTCATTGATTTTAAAAATAGGTTTGTATCTGGGCCCTATAAAATCTTCTAATAATCTCTGTTGCTATAGAAAACATTTTATTCCT